CTCACTCACTCACATTCCTCTCACTTATTCACTCCTCTCACTCACTCACTCCTCTCACTCTCACTCACTCACATTCCTCTCACTTATTCACTCCTCTCACTCACTCACTTCTCTCACTCACTCACTCATTCCTCTCACTCACCTCTCTCACTCCTCTCACTTATTCACTCCTTTCTCACTCACTCACTTCTCTCACTCTCTCTCACTCATTCCTCTCACTCACTCCTCTCTCTCACTCATTCATTTATTCCTCTCATTCAGAATCACTCCCTCACTCATCCTCTCACTCACATTCACTAGCCCATGCATCCCCCCCACTCATTCATTCACTCCTTCACTCATCCCTCTCATTCCTGCACTTCACACACTTATTCATTTCTCTGACTAGCTCCTCTTTTTCACTCGCTCATTCCCCCTTGTACTCATTGCCTCTTGTATTCACTCTCCCTCATTCATTTCATCTACTCATTGACTAACTTATTCCCCTCATTCACTCCTATTAGTCATTTATTCCTCTCTCCCATTCATTCCCCCTGACACTCCCTCCCTCCTTACCTCACTGGGGGAATGTGAGGGCCGTCACACTGAACGGGCAGAATCGGGATTTTGTGTCGTTTTACTGTAGCTTCGTTTTTATTCCGTAGAACTGATTTCTTTTTAAAGACTTCTAATCTTTGTCATCAGTTTAGAATGTAAATGGTGAGGTTTGGTGGAATTGTAGCAAGTTCCATGGAAGTTCTTACACCTTAACTCCAGCAGTTTCCTCATAAACAGTAATAAAATGCACAGACTGGACGCTTTTTAAAAAATATAAATCGTTCTTGACGAGCGGGAGTCGTTGGCAAGACCAGTAATCAATTTCCAATCCTCAACTGCATTTGGATTTAGTGGCTTGCTAGGCCATTTCAGAGGGCCGTTAAGTGTCAACCACGTTGCTATGGGTCTGGAATCACATGTAGAGGAAGAGGCGGGGGGGAATGTGGGCAGATCCCCTTCACTGTAGGACGGTAGTGAATAAGATGCGTCCACTGCAAATTCCACTATTTATTACCAGCATTTTATTCCAGATTTATGAACCAAATTTAAAATCCTGCCCCCACCCCATACACATACATACACACCAAACATCTGCTGTGGTGGGGTTTGACCTCCTTTCGCCTGAGGACTAATTTAGGCCTCTAGATTACTAGGCCTGTAACGTGGCCACTACATCACTGTCCTCATTTTGGGACTGTGGGACTTAAGACCAGATCATGGGTTTTATATATATACTGGACTGTGGATTATAGACCAAACTGTGTTTTATAGACCAGATTGTCTTTTGTAGACTGGACTGTGGATTATAGACTGAACTGTGGGTTATAGACTGAACTCGGGATTATAGACTAGACTGTGGCTATAGACCACACTGTAGGGTTTTAGTTAGGGCCGTAAATTATAGATTGGAATATGATTTATAGACCTGACTTTGGGCTACAGACTGAACTGAGTTATAGACTGGACTGTGGTTATAGACTGGATTATGTGGATTATGGACCTGACTGTAGGTTGTAAACTGGACTGTGAGTTATACATTGGATTGCGGGTTATAAACTGGGCTGTGGAATATAAACTGGGTTGCGGGTTATAACCTGGGTTGTAGTTTATAGACTGGACCGTGGATTGTGAACGAAACTGCAGGTTGCAACTTGGCTGTGGGTTGCAGACGGGACAGAGGGACACAGACTGGGCTGTGGGACATTGAGAATATTCGTTAGAAACAGGATTGTGGTACACACATAGACATACAGGTTTGTTGTTTAGACGAGTTAGGATTTGATTAGCAACAAGAAGTGACTATAATGGCAAGTTTTGCCAACTGCAGACAATTGTGGATGCGTGTCCGTGTATCGAAGTGTCCTCCCCACTGACCTCACTACCCAAAAACCTCTCCCTCCGATTGCATTTGATGCTAATTGCAATTCTACAAAATCCGCATTGTCCTATTCTGAATAAAGACGCGGGCTAGTTATTGAATAAATGGAAATCCAAATCAAACTGAGATCTGCAGGGAACAGTAAATGTATTCACTAGAAATGAGCAGGCTCTTTACTGACTCGGCAGTATCAGTCCTGCTAACGGACCCAAAGCCTTGGCACGGCGGTGTGTAGTTCTATGCAATCTCCCAAGGCCATTAACAGGCACTGAAATCTGATTGATTCGTTTGTCTTGTAACTTAAGTTGAGGTAAAAGGTATATTCCGGCTGCTAGGACGCTGCTCAACTTTATTCAAATCAAAGCGAATAATTCACTCATATTCCCTAAGCCCCATTCTAAGTATTCTGGAATAGCGACAAGCTTCTGAAGGGATAGAAAGTGGCCCTCAATTAAAGGGGACGTATTGGAGTGGAAGGGGAGTCTGTGAGCCACTGACAGGGCGCTACATGCCCCAGTAGACTGCAGGGATACGGAGCTCATTCCTCATCCTATTCCAAATCGATACCGAGCCAAAAACCCTTTTAACATCCTTCCTTATTGCCTGTGAAAGACGAGATTTAACGGAATGTGTCCCGCATACAGGTAACATTATTCATAGAATGCTAACCCCATCAAACAGCGGCAGGGGTTAAGCTAGATGTTCATCCATACTATGCTGTTACACAGTCAGACAGGAACATTGTTACACAGTCAGACGGGAACATTGTTGCACAGGCACAGTGGAACATTGTTACATAGTCAGACAGGAACATTGTTACAATGTTCCAATGTGACTGTGTAACAATGTTCCTGTCTGACTGTGTGGCAATATTCAAGTTTGACTGTGTAACAATGTTCCAATTTGACTGTAACGATGTTCCCGTCCTGTGAGCGAATGTATTTAAGAAATTAAACGCCCCCTATAGAGGCCAGCTGTTGTCATGGGGGCAACCTTTGGGAAGTTTGTTTCTTGTAGAACTCTGGTGCTTTTTCCGTTCTTTTCCTTAGGACTGATGTAACTTCGGGCTACTCCCAGAGCCGCTGAAATTCATTTCTTTTCTCTCTGCCTTTGGTTGCAGGACACCCTAGCCCGCCCCCGTGCACCCTGAGGAAACACAAAAACAACAGGAAGCCTAGAACCCCCTTCACAACGTCGCAACTGCTGTCGCTGGAGCGCAAGTTCCGCCAGAAACAGTATTTGTCGATCGCGGAGCGGGCAGAGTTCTCCAGTTCTCTCAACCTGACCGAGACCCAAGTGAAGATTTGGTTTCAGAACCGGCGAGCGAAGGCGAAGAGGCTACAGGAGGCCGAACTGGAGAAACTCAAACTGGCCGCCAAGCCGTTGTTACCTTCTTTCGGCCTGCCGTTCCCTCTGGCCTCCCATCTCACTTCTCCCAACTTGTATGGACCGTCTAACGCTTTCCAACGGCCTGCTCTTCCAGTGCCGGGACTGTTCACCGCCCCGGTCACATACGGAATGTATTATTTGTCGTAAATTGTCGGAGAGACTAGCCCCTTTCCGTCTCTTAGACATTGATGTCTGAGAGGCGACTGGGCAGAACCAGAGGGGGAAAGAAGCGTCATTCAGGGAATTCCAGAATCACTGCAACCCTCCCTCACATTGACTTGTTTATATCGAAACTGGGTTGTTAACCCATTTAGTCATTCCTTTTCTCTGTTAAAAGTGCAATTAAAGTTCATCGAAATATACAGAATAATTTATACAGAAATCTCAGTCTCTGCAGATCAAAACAAAATCTGAATTCTATAAAAAGTGGGTGATAAAACCGCTATTTGATAAAGCTGCCATTTGATCTAAAGCACCATGGCTTCATTGATTGATACAGTGGACGTATGAACCTAGCAGCCTGCATTTAGTCCTGATTCTCGCTGTGAATTGAGGGGGAAAGAAAGCGCGTCGGATTCTCTTTCAACAATCATATTGGACGTTCGTCCTAGTCCCTGTAACCTTTTTGCATATCTCGCGGGCGATGTCGCTGAACCATTGTGTGTAAGAAGTGACCTGGGTACAGGCCGCGACACAGACAGAGAGACGGGGAGACTTTTGCTCATCAGAATGGAGAGCGCTATGACTTGGCACTGTCATTTTCAACAACAAAAAAAAATTGTCAAACTCTAAAGCAGACCCTTTGGAGAGGGAAAGTTGCACTGTACGGCCAGCTTTCTGTTCGATTGAGGAATTGCTCATCTGTTTTCGATCCGCCTTCACTTCCTAATGCTATGTATAGACTCGTGTAAATACAGAAATGTATCGATGGGTCTGGGACTGGCTTGAGTTTGATTTGGGACTTTGGTTTCGCAGCCGTGGCATTTCTGAATCAGACCAGCCCAGCCTGAAGATTGTTTACCAATATTTAAATATATAAGTGCATTTAAAATACGTTTTCTTAAAAAAAACTGTTTACATTTTCTTAAATGGTGTACAGTTTATTGTATGTGCAGATGGTAACATGGGTCACGAGGATTTCACGTGTTTTTGTACATTGATGATCAAATAAACTCTCTAATTGTTCCTTTTTCTAATTTTATTTTATTTCATAATTGATTAACGGAAATTCGTTAAACATATTGTACCGGAACTAGCGGACGGGTTTGGATTAATAACAAAAGAGAGAGAGTGAGAATTACAGACTGGGTGGCTGAGGAGTCCCTATAACTTTGGGGCTAATGCCGAGCGGCTGTTGTAAAAGCATCCCAAAGTCCCCGAGTTCGAACAAACTCCGCGAGGTGTCCAGTGAAAATGAACATCAAACGAAGGCACTTTAGTTCCGGAGATGATGCTCACACCCAGAGCCAGCCTGCATTCTGCAAGGTGACACGAGAACTTTGGGTGAGATTTGGCCCTTAATAAAGCAAATACATTTTTTAATAAACTTTCGGCGGGTGGTTCTGTTATGTAGTTTCGAGTCTTAACTGCACAAATATTTAACTTTAATTTTCTGCTTTATAAACGAAATATGAACCATTCTCTTCAGTTAGAATGACCAATTATAGTTGATTAATTTATAATGTAAGTCTTAATCACTAATATTGCAGTTATGATCGTTTTGAATTTGGTTGATTAAATTATTTCTCAAAAAAAAAAGTTTATTTTTAAATGTGGTTTGTTTTCTAGCGAGCCACTGATTTATAATTAAGAAGACAGTTGTTGCAAGATAGTTGATAATTCTGTGGTTTTATTTCCCAATATGATCTGCTAGTCGGAGCCTGTGAGTTTTATCGTTAAATCCCGTGTCTCCTGTTTGATGCACATCACTGTTATCACATTTAGCATTTACGCGGACCCCAGCCCAGAGCTGGCACGTTGGGGGAGGGGGCGGCTCTCTCTATATAGTGGACAACAATTTACAACGATTGTTTCCAGAATTAAGTGATCAGATTATCGTGATCAATTGTAATTTGAAGGATGAGGTCACTGATTCCAGAAAAAAAAATCCTGTTCCGGGCAATACGGAAGAGACTCGCAAAACGTGGGTCAAATGATCGCCGGGCGCTGTGTCCTTTTAATGAGTGATGTTTTATTATTTCATGTTGAAAAGAACCTGAAAAAAAATGAAACACGAAATACGATTTCACACTTGGCATCATGACCAGTCCGCGACCCAAAATAGACCACTTTCCATCGATTTAATATGTTCAAAGTTATTCCAGTTTGCTATGGGCAGCATTTTAATCTCAACAAACTCCCCAGTGTCTGGCCTGCGCTCCCGTTTTCCAAACATGATGCAACAGTCCCATCTAGCGGCAGCCCGCTGTTTCCAATTCAATCCGCCCTTTGGCTGTTTCAGTCATCAGCAATGTTCAAACTTCACTGTATTCCAGCTTTTGCGCATGTGTCTTACATCTTGTGAATCCCATATATTTGAACAACGTTGTCGCTATTTGTATTCATAGCTTCTGCGCTTAGCTTAATTTAAGAAAACACTTGCAATAACACTTACACTTATGAGCCCAGATTCTCAGGCATGTATTTCATTTTTGCAAATTTTGTGCTGATTTGGCTCCTACCAGACCCCACCTACTACCACCCCATCAGAAAAACTGGGCAATCCAAGTGCCATTTATACGACTTCACACAATTCATCACCAATCATAACCACATTGGTCAAATGCAATGGGGATTTGGTATCGTGGCATCGTTGTAATTGCACTACGTAGTGTATTGCAAATTTCTACCACCATATGATAACTCGACAGGGCTACAGAGTGACTTCAAGAAATAAAATAAACAATCAGGGAGTGTTTCATCACGAGTCAGGGTTATCAGAAAATATATGTAAACATTAGGCTGGAGCTAAATAATACGGACATAGATTGATTCAAAGAAAGATAAATACATTTATTAGAACACTGCTTAATTCTACAATATTCTAAAGTTAACTATGTTTTATGGGCGCCATACTCCCACTTTGTTTTGAATGTTTATAATCCTGTGTTTAAAGTATTTTTTACAAATTCCTTTACAATATATCTTGAGGCAAATTACCCTCTTTAAATCCCAAATGAAGTGATTCTTTTCAAATCTCCCTCTTGATGACACTGACTGATATGGATCGATTGGGAAAAGGGCCATTCTTTGTATGAAGCAGAAGTGTCCAAATCTAAAAGCTATTGGACTTTGTATCCTCTATCCCAGACATGCCTATTCTTCCCATCAATGTGTGTGCAATTTCCCGACAGTCATTGGCTGTCAGACAGGAGTGGGAGCCTTGGCTGACCTTCTTCAGTTGTAGTTCAGAATTGCAATGCCTTCGCCAAGAAATGCTGGCGTAGCATTAGCTGGATTGAAAATAGCTAACTCAGAATAGTCAACATTTAGGAGTTTCTTTGTCCCTATGGCGCAGTCCCATTTCAGGAAGCACAATTGACTCTGGAGTTAAGTATTAAAAATGGTAATTGTGAAACATAGAAGATAGGTGCTGGAGGAGGCCATTTGGCCCATCGAGCCTGCTCCATCATTATTCACGATCATGGCTGGCCGTCCAACTCAATAGCCTAATCCTGCTTTCTCCCCATAACCTTTGATCCCATTCACCCAAAGTGCTACATCTAGTCACCTCTTGAATACGTTCCATGTTTTGCCATCAACTACTTCCTGTGGTAATGAATTCCACAGGCTCACCACACTCTGGGTGAAGAAATGTCTCCTCATCTCTGTCCTAAATCATCTACCCCAAATCCTCATACTGTTACCCCTGGTTCTGGACACACCCACCATCAGGAACATCCTCCCTGTCGAGTCCTGTCAGAATTTTATGTCTCTATGAAATCGTTCCTCATTCGCCTGAACTCTAGTGAAAACATCCCAACCTAGTCAACCTCTCCTCACGTCAGAGCCGCCATCCCCAGAATCAGCCTGGTAAACCTTCGCTGCACTCCCTTGAGAGCAAGAGCAAGAGCAAGAGCATCCTTCCTCAGAAAACGATACCAAAATTGCACACAATCTACTGGACTATCACAAAACCCATTGCCCTTGAGGGAAGGAAATCTGCTGTGCTTGCCCAGTTTAGCCTATAGGTGACTCCAAGCTGATAGAAATAACCAAGTGTGGAGCAGGAGAAACACAGCAGGCCAGGCAGCATCAGAGGAACAGGAAAGTTGGCATTTCATCAGAAACATTTTCTGATGAAGGGTCCTGACCTGAAATGTCAGCTTTCCTGTTCCTCTGATGTTGCCTGGCCTGCTTTGTCTCCAACTCAATTTGTTATCTCTGACTCTAGCATCTGCAGTTCTTGCTATCCAAGCTGATAGCAACCTGGTTGACTGTTAACCACTCTGTGAAGTGCAAGCAGCTCACTGTATTCCAGAAAGTGGCTTACCACCAAAGTAGGTAATAGATGCTAACCTAGTCAGTAATGCTCACATCCTGAGGGAAGTTAAGAGATGGTTTATGTTTAATATTTGTGACTGTGTGCTATCACTGTAAAATCACATTTATCAGCCATTTTAAAATATGGTTCTAAACAACATTTTATGGCTCTCTCTTCCAGAAAAGAATGGGCAGTTCTTGCTGAAGCTATCACTGGCACAGCACTACGCCAGTGAGATTCTAATAATAGCACTTGAGAATGTGGGCAGGCAGACTAGCTGCAGAGTATGAGGCCCAATTTCCAAAGTATCTGAAATATTAACTTCAACGTCTGGCTCTAGTTCAAACATTGGTTAACACAAAGGAAAATCTCCCAAGACGTAACTTTGGCTTACGATTTAACAGGTTAAATTGCACAAACTGTTGGCCAGATAAAAATACTTTTAAATATTTTCATGCTATGTATAAATACAATGTGTAGCTATGCGGTGTGGATTGTGGTGCCACAGATTGTGTGAAAATACACTGTTCTTTATTCATCTTTCTCTCCTCACCAAGAATTTATCATTACAGATGGAAATCCTGCACCAATGTTTCCTTATCATTTTGACATGAATTAGCAGTATGCATCCTGGGCACATGTAGTTCCAAAGAAGGATGAAGACTATAAGTCCCATGTTACATTCTCACATTCTGTTCAGAAGCTTTGGAAATCCACCAGACTCACTGCTCAGAAAATTTGCAACACAGATTATAGTTGGAACCTCAGTCCATAGAAAAGGGCAGGTCAATGTTGATGAAACTTCTTTCAAGCACGTCTAAACTTGGATAAATGTAATGATTTTGGCACAAATTATTTAGTTATCTATGTTTTAATATCACTGCCTCAATGTTATTAAGTTTATTTATGCCCTTTATACCCAGGGTGTTCACAATTACATTCATAACAAGATTCATGTTAAAATGAAGAAATAACTTCAGCCTTAGGTAGCTCAAATGCAGTCTTTGAATTCATTTTGTTTCTGTGAAGTCTTTCCCCATTGAATCAACTAGGGGAAGTATACAATCATCATAAATAAAAACAAAGTGCTAGAGAAACCCACAAAGTCTGGCAGCATCTATGGAGAGCGAAATGGACTTAAACATTGAGACCCATAACACTTCTGAAGAACGATATTTGATTCAAAATGTTTACTCTATTCTTCTCTCCACAGATGCTGCCAAACCTGCTGAATCTCACCAGCACAGTCTGTTTTTATTTCAGATATTCAGGATCTGCAGCAATTTACTTTAATTTAATAAGACCATAGTATGTAGGAGCAGATGCAGGATATTCAACCCATCAATTCTGCTCCATCATTCAGTGAAATCATGGCTAATCTGAATCTTCAACTCCACGTTCCTGCCTTTTCATTTGATATGATTACCTTCTTTATTTCATCCTATAACTAAACGCAAGATAAAATAATTTTATTACAAATTTGGGCCAGCTGCATATTTTATACATTTGGTGCAAAATATTTTAACTATATCCATATATGTATAACAATATCACTACCGCATTTAGTGCACATTACTCAGTTACAGCTTATCTCTTTGGATTTCACTGTGGCAAGTACCCACATTGGAATAAACAGAATGTTCAAAATTTGGACTTGCCTATTAATTGAGAATATCCAAATAAAAACAGAATTAAATCAAAGTATTTTGATTCATTTGGTAAAAACAAATGAGCAAAATGGCAGAAACATTAGCTGTTGCCTTACTCAATATTTTTCTGCAGTTAGAAATCCCAATCACGAGAATCACTGTAATCAAATCACGACAAAATGTTTCGTACCTTTTAGCTATCCAAAATTACAACCAGGAAATCAATATTTAAGAATACTAGATATCAATTTAAAAAATACTTGCACTGACATAGCATCTTTCATGATCACCAGATGGTTCAAAGCAGTTGAAAGCTAATGAAGTACAGCAAATTTTGTTTTAACCAGCATCGTATCAACCAACACTCTTGATAAACCAGCAAAAATAATATACCTCAAATACTGCCACATCCAAGCATTTATGCTGTAAATAAAGTATAACAGTAACATGTAGACCCCTTGCATTATGTTACTATTCCTACTGTGTGTTTTTACATAGATTGTTTGATAGATGTTGATGTCTCGAAGCTTTGCTTTGTCAAGGTTTACTGCGGTTACACGTATCTCTTGATTATCTGGAATATTTGATCAGTTGGTCCGCTCCTGGTCTCACAGGTGTCAGTTAAAGTGTTTGTTGTACTTCTATAGAGTAGTCACTTTTGTAATGTGGGAACTACAGCAGCCAATTTGCACAAAGTACAATTCCACAAGTAGCAATGTGACAATGACCAGATAATCTGTTTTTTGGAATACTGATTGAGGGGTAAATATTGGTTAAGAGACCAGAGATAGCTCCTTTTTTTTCCTCTCACGAATAGTATTGTGGGCTCTTTTGAATCTATATTAGAGGCATGCTAGGCCTTAGTTTAACATCTCATTTGAAAATGTGTAGTAAAATCTAATCTCAACCTTTTTATTTGAAATATCCCAAAAAACAGTGGAAATGGCTTGGAAATGATGGGCCTCTTAAAAAAAAGTGGAAACAAAATGCATTTATTTTGGTAGTAATTAATAAATACGTGTTTTCGAAGAACCATTTAAAAGAAAACACCTGCGACCAGTGACCAATAATTTTATCAGACTGCCTCCCAGAGGCTGAGATTCTTCAAATCCATAAGGAGAAATGTGACAAAATGTTCATCCAAGTTCATATTTAGAACTGAAATCTTTTACAGTACAAAAGTTGTACTCTCCACTGACTAGTTAATTCGAAATACAGATCACTTCTTTTTCCTTGCGTTTTTAAAGCCGCGCACTGATCCATGGCCAAAACAAATTGTTGCTGGTACCCTAAAAAAGAAAAAAAATAATAAAATGAGCCATTGAGATCAGGAATTTTTCTGTCTTTACTCAGTTACCTCATCTCAACCGATGCAGCTGTGGTTGTGTATATTGGCTTCAGTGCTCAGGTTTATGGAGATGGGATAAAATAAATCCAGCCCAGGTTCCCACTGCTATTTGTGACCTAATTACTCTTGCTGTTACGCACAAGTGTTTTGATGCCAGCAGCGGGAAGGACAACATGGTGGATTCAGTTCTGACACCCCTCACTGTAAATATCTTTCAGTACTCACTAAGTACATATGAATAACTGCTATTTGAATGAGGTCCTGGAGGACCGATAGTGTCTGTGCGACTGATTTTAGCAGCTTTGAAAGGGATTGGAGGAAACATGTAGTGGGGTAGGTAAGAAACTGCACCACAGCTGCAAAAATTCTACAACTTCTGGTATTTTATTCCCCCAATGACCTGAAATGTTAACTCTGTCTCTTGCTATTGATGTTGCCTAGTATGTGGAGTTAAGCCAGCAGTTTTTTGTTCTTATTTCAGATTTCCAGCATTTGAATTATTGTTTTTGTTACAACCATTACATTTAAAAAAAATCACACATAGACTAACATTGAAATAACAAAATAAGTTGACAGCAATTTACTCTATTTATTTTAAATAGAGATGATATGATTGTATATACTTAATGCTTAAAAATGTTACTATATTCAAAAGTAAAAGTTAAGATGATAGAGGAACAATAACCTGCATGAGAAGGACAGCCTTTGCTGCACTGTAGGAATACTGGATTTCTCTTCTGACAATGAGGGACTGTCAGCTTCCATTGTTTGTGCAGGTGCATAGTCCATTGATTCAGTGGATGTTCTGCTGAAAATATCATTTGCTTCTTTTTGACAACTGGAAGTTTCCATTTCTATGTCATGTGAACTCTGATTCTTTTGATTGCTGTGGACAGGGAGGAAAATAACATGTTTATTTTACTGCACTGCCACAGTGAAAGCAAAGTAACCACACTACTACTTTCAAAAGTGGTCTATGATTTCAAATTCATCTTTAGCACTGATTTTTTAAGTGGGAAAAGAAATACACAGTCTGCTTCAGATTAAAGCACTTCGTGTCACGTGGCTGATCTGAACTGAGCTGCTTAGAAACATATTGGAGCAGGAGTAGACTATTCTGTTCTTTGACCCTGCGCCACCATTCTCAATCATGGCTAATCGTCTATCACAATGCTATTTTCCCATATTTATTTCCATATTCCTTTATGTCATTAGGATCTATAAGTTTCAATCTGTTCACCTCTCATTCCTTAAATAATCTGTGGTTGCTGCAGGGATGCATTGCTAATCATATCATAAACAGACTAGGGGATTTAATTTCCCACTCTAATCGAGCCAAGAAAGTGAAGGTATAATAAATACACTTGTATTAGGGCCCTCATGGTGCAGTGGCTAGGGTTAGGCTTACTGACCATAAGACATTGGAGCAGTCGCATCATTCTAATCGCAATCCCTACTCGCGTCCATACAGCTTGCAGGAACCTCAACTGCTGGACAACTGCAGGGGTTGAGGCTCCTCAATCACCACCCTACCTGCCTCACCTGAAGTTATACCTTTCTGACACTGATCACAGAACAAATCTGAATTTGAATTACCTGGTCTGAAAGCTGTGACTGCATCCTGGAGCCAAGTGTCCAGCTAATGTTCCCCTTCCCTGACATGGCTCAATCTCTGCAGCTTCTGTACTTTGATTCAAAATTCCTTTAGCTGCAAACACTTACTACAGATGTGGACCCCAAGGTAATCCAGGGCAAACACATCAACGACCATTATGAGAGATAACTCCAGGTAGGTAATGAAGCAGACAGATGGATATTGCGCCCTACTACCAATAACAATGAAGAATCACTTGGATATATATTTATATAATGTGTGTTTGTCTGTGACTCAGTTTCTCAAAATTGAGATGCTAATCTCAATATATTCTGAATAATTATTAGAACTGTTTCAGTGAGGCAGAAAACGCAGCCTATAAGGGAATTTTGCTAAGGGGTGATATTGGGTTAATTCAAAGCAAAATTAGTTAGTGCACAGTAAAGCATTAGTTTCTAAATGCAAAGCAAGCATGGAATTGTTTAAGACAAGTCAAGTTTGACTAACTTGAATTGAGTTCTTTGATGAGGTAGTGAAGTGGATTGATGAAGGTGACTGTTGTGCATATGGACTTTTAAAACGCACTTATTAAGTGCAAAAATTAAAGCCCATGGCATTAAAGTGACAGTAGCAGCATAGTTAAGTGTCAGAAAGCAGAGAGTAGCAGTGATTGGCAGTCTTTCAGAATGAGGGATTATTCAAAAGGTGTTACTCAAGGATTGGTAATAGGTCCACTAACCTTTTTGATACAAGCACACTGGACTTGCATATAAAATATGCTGATACAAAACTTCGAAATGTAGTTAATGGTAAGGCAAATAGTATCACAGTTCAGGGAAGAATATAGATTGATGAAATGGTAGATACATGGAAAATTAAATTTAATGCTAAGATGAAATTTAAAACATTTCAGTAGGAAGCACACAAAGGAGCAATAGGAACTGAATGATACAATTTTAAAACATTAGCAGGGAGACCTGAGGTTTGTGTACATAAATCTTAGGAGGTGGCAGGACAAGGGGAATAGGGTGTTTAAAAAAAAAACCCTGACTTTGCTAATTAATTGTTACAGCAACAGAGTAAATAAAGCAGTGAAACTTTACCCAGACTGGCTAGGTCACAACTGATGTATATTGTTCAGTTCTGGGCACTGTACAGTACTTTGGGATTTAAGCCAATGCCTAATGCAGGACGCAGCAGTGACTCTATTAGAGGGCACCAACACTGAGGGTCTTCAGCTCTGTGCAGAAACTGGAATTGTCCTTTTTAGAACAGGGAAGGTTTGAAAAAGATGTTCAAAATCATGAATGGTTTTGATAGAGAAAAGGAAGAGAAATTGTTTCCAATGACAGGTGGATCACCAACAAGAGAACACTGATTTCACGGTAATACAAAAATAATCAGACGTGACATGAGGAATTTTTTTTCACAAAATGAGTGTTTGTGAAAAGGAATACACTGTCTGGAAAGGGAGTGGCATTAGAGTCAATATTAACATTCAAAAAGGAATCGGATAAATATCTGAATAATAAAGTGCAAGACGTGGGGAAAGAGAATGTAATTAATGTTACCAAAATGCTAGCACAGGCAAGGTGGGTCAAATGGTCTCAGTCTGTGCTACATTATTCTATGATTTTATTGCACTTGCTTAAGCAGTATTAACTGAAATTTCTTGACCTCAAGTTTTCCAAGAAATAGCTTTCAACTGATTGCTCCGCAGCTAGTATACATTCTAAGATAATAAGCCATTGAAGTTCAATTGAAGAGGAAGATATTTAAGAACCACAGGTGTATTATTGAGATGCTATACACATTGTATAGTTTATTAATTCACCCCAGTAAGTTTAATGTAAACCCCACAAAGAACAATTTCTTTACCATTTAGGTTTCTTTGGTTTGTTGAATCTGAAATCAGATGGATAACCATGAACTTCGATCAAATGCTTTTTCCGGTCACTAGAAGCCTTGAATTTTTCTTTACAACTCTCTACCAAACACACATACTGGAAAATCAAAGATAGCATTTCAGTTACAAACATACTGATTTTTCCAGGGCCCCATTGTGATGATGTAAGATGGCACGAATTTGGAGACAAATTTCATACTGCCCTGTGGATTGTGGCATATAAATCCTAGTTTGGGGACAATGAGGGGTCATGACTTCGGGTATTCCCACACTACCATAGGAAATCTGCTCAGTATGCCCTTATAAATTCTCAAAAGGTTCTCCAGGAAAGGTAATCAATCTAACAGACGTCAATGACCTTACTGGACATTTCATCTGCCTTTAAGAATGCAAAAAAGATAACAGCCAACTTCACCTTCTGGCATATCCTGGGCCTCTCTCCCACTATTGGAACAGAATGGCAACACAAAATGTATTAAACATGGTTTAACCTATAGACATTCATGGTTATGAGGCACTCTTTCTGTTCCCATCCTGCTGCAATTGGGGACAGGGTCCTTGACTTAAGCAATTAACTTTTGTGCAGAATCTATCCTTTCGCTGTATGAATCCCTTATTTTAACTGACGAAGCAGTTTTATTTCCCTACTTATTTCATGCTTAATCACCATGAAAATACTGATTATATTAATGATAGCTTTGGCACAAATGATCAGAAGGTGAAGTGCTTATTACAGACTTGAGCACATAATTTAGGTTGACACTTCAGTGCATAACTGAAGGACTTTTGCACTACCAGAAATGATGCATATTAACCGAGATACTATTTTAATTTTTAAAAAATTTGATCATGGGATGTGGACATCGCAGGCTAAACCACCAGTTACTGCCCATCCTTAATTGCCCAGAGGACAGTAAAGCATCAAACACATTGCTGTGGGTCTGGAGTCAAACCTAGGCCAGGCCTGGGAAGGATGGCAGATTTTGTTCCCTAAAAAGGGCATTAGTGAAGCAGATCAGTTTTTACAACAATCGACAATAGTCTCATAAGTTGTCATGAGGCTGGCTTCTTTTATTCTAGAATTTTATTGAATTCAAATCTCATCATCTACCATGACAGGGCTCGAATCCATGTCCCCATAACATTAGCCTGGGGTTCTGGATGAGTAGACATTACCACTATGTCATTGCTTCCCCTTAAGGGTAACAAAATCACATTTGAAAATCACCAACAAGCCAATGCTAAGATATTACAAAATAAAGGAGAACCCATCACGCTACAGGTGACAACCATCATGGGAAACATTACAGGATGAAAAAGAAACAATAACAATCTCATTGTCAGGAAAAAAAACCAAGCGCCACGTGTGAAAAGGTTTTCAGTACCATAGATTAGACAGACCTTAAATCATAGTAATTAAGAAAAGTGGTCCCTCTAGTCAGTAAGGACTAGGGGTTGCTGACATTGCTAACTGACTAAAATTGCTTTCACAATGTTTTTTCAAGTTAAAAACTATGTTTGTTTGCATCGCACAAAGTATGGATCAAAGGCTGATATCCCATGTTTGAAAAATCAAGAGATGGACTTAATTTAATTCTCTTACAGTAAATGGAAGGTCGATTTCTTGCTGCACATCTTTATAGACCCAAACTTACATTCGATGTTTAGCAGTTTTTTGTAAGTTGGTCATAATTTGTGTTGTGGCCTGGATAGCCAAGGTCCTAATAAATTATATTGAATTAGGTAAAACTACTACCATCACTGTCTCTACTCTGCATAGTAGAGATATGAAAAAGCATCGAGTACTACCAAGCCTTATTCCTGATCCTCTTTAAGAATTGGAGATCTGCTAAGTTGAAGTGTAATATTGTTTGTTACTCTAGCTAGCTGCAGAGTATCTAGAGATTTCACCAATATAAATCTCCCCAAAATCCTCTTCAGTGGATCAAGGTAATAGTCAGGGCCAAGGGTTCTTTGATAGAATATGAGCCAATAAGGATGTGAATAATGCCACAGGAATATTAATGTTCACTTTATTCCCTCATTTAACCTCACAGGAAGGATGATATTATTAATAACCTAGTTTCCTTATGGAATTGCTACAACCTTTGATTCTGGTGGCAATTACAAATGCATTCTCTGATGTTAGGGAAGAATAGTAAGACTCCTAAATAGCTCTCACCTCTGAATGCTTGATTCTGATACAATTCTTTTCCCATAATCTTGCCTTGGTTAATTTGTATTACTGATACATCTTTTCAAAGTGTTTGCTCTCATTTTCTCCCACTAAACAGTCACAATGTCCCTTGAGTTGGCAGTATCCAAATGGTTCCTCTTAAGACAGTTCATCATCACTGTATTGCATCAGCAGAAGTTATTGAGATTCCTGCTTAGATCATCCTGCCTTTGTACAGAGATAAGTGCACATGGTTCTGCATGGAGTTCAGACAACTCTATACATTACAGCAAATATTGACAGATTTAACACACACCAGTGAACAACTCAGGATTTAGAGTTTCATAATCACTTACCATGTTCTGTTTCACTGCCAAAATTTGGAAAAATGAGTCGTGCCATTCCAGGATGTGAATATCTAGCAGATGACTGGAAGGAAAAGAGCGCTTGCAGGAGGAACAGACATTGCGGTGAAATGTATTATAATGATGTTCGTAGTTTTCTAAGGCATCAAACAGTTGACTACAACCTGCTATTTGGCAACAGAATTCAGAAACCCTAGATTTTTTTTAAAAAATGCACACATAAATATACATAAGTTAGTTCTTCACAAAAGAAGCAGAGGACAATTAAAATAGCTTTGGTGCAATCCAGTTAGTAAAAGGGCAATCCTCAAAAGCAAAGAGCTTTACTTACTTGGGTCTTTCTGCTTCTCCCACACTGGTTATAGAATTTTGCAGATATAAATGTCTATGGATATCGCCATCCTAAAACAAAGGTTAAATTATTTTCTATAAATCACTGGTTTGAGAAGTAGTTAAAAGTTAATCAGTTACATACAAACTTTAATTTTTTATTGGTATAAAAGAACCTTCTTGTAGTGGAAGGTAAGCAACAATACATCTAACGGCTAATTTTATCAACACTGAGCAAACACAGTAATGCACTGACAAGCCAAGTCCGTGGGACTGTTGGATGAGACAGTAAACCCCAACTAGGGGTAATATGATCAGAAGACACAAAGTTATCAACTGTTCTCCATTAACAGCATCCATTGAAACTTATCACAATGTCTGACTAGCCAAGGACATACTTCCCATGTTTTGACTGCCAGCAAATCATCCAACAAGGCATCCCGTAGTAATGCTTCTTTTACTATATGCTCATATTGTCAGAATATAATTTATTTCCTTTATTACCAAAACCAACATCTCTAGCAATCAAAGTGAATGCAGCAATCAGCTAAAGGTGTCCATGAAATTTAGTTTCTTTACAGCAAGGCAAATTTCAACTCCATTTATTCTGAAGGTAATTTAGTTCCAAGGGTAAGAAAATATACTTGTTGCAGTGTGACAATCCTTTTAGTTGCTACCTAAGCGCCAGCTAGGCATCAATGTAAATTAGCTGCATTATGGTGCACGTCACTCCATGATCCAAAAATAATATCTAGCTAGGACTTACTACAGTTCACATGCTTTCTAGTGAATTTAACAGAAGTCCAAAATTTGACCCTTAACAGAGATAATAAGAACTGACGATACTGGAGGCAGAGATAGCACAGTGTGGAGCTGGAGGAACACAGCAGGCCAGGCAGCATCAGGGGAGCAGGAAAGCTGACGTTTCGGGTTGGGACCCTCCTTCAGAAAACCCTTAACCGTTTGGCCGATTTGATTAATGCTGATTGGATGCATAAGTTTATTGGAAGGCGTTGGGGGCTCAGTATAAACTGCACATTGTAGTTAAAAAAAAAAAAATCGATAAATCTCATGTCCAACACCTTTTAAATACTTGACTGTTCGCCTGCACGCTAGCTAACTAGTGAACCTCTCCACAATTCCAAAGATTCAACTGTTTGGACCTTTCACCATACCTGATCTTCAAGACAAAGCTGTCAGAAAGGAAATCTGCAAACGTTTTGATTATTATCACATTGTTGCTTGCGAGATTTTGCGTTAATTAGCTACTACAATGGCTGCAAATAACTTGGGGATGCTCTGAAACTGTAAAAGGCGCTAGAGAAATGCAACTTCTTACCTATAAAGGAAATACGGCCATCAGTTTACACACAGCAAGTTCATTCACACATATACAGCAACGAGGGAATGACCTGACCTATTTAATTGCAACTGAATGGACACCAGCATTGCACTCCCCCCTCCCAGGACTCAGAGTTTCAGGTTAATTAACATGCCGCCACTAACCTCGAAAAATTCGTCCTCTTTCTGCAGGAAGATCCTCCTGGACTTGAAAGTAAAAGGTGACGGCCCCAGCTCTGACTCGCCAGCCGCCCCATCCCCTCCGGCCTCAGCGAACGCCACCGCCGGCTCTAGTAGCGAGCCTGGCCTGGGCCAAGGCGTCCCGATTCCCTCTCACCAGCAGCGACAACCGGCCAGCAGCCCCGTGCTTCTGCTCATCGAGTCAGCGGCCTCACCACTGCGCATGTTCAGCAACTGCCGCCGTGTTGCTCCCTCAGTGCGCGTGCGCAGCGACCGTCACCCGGCCTCAGCGCGCGTCCCTTCTTGACGTCTCCGTCTGGGTCCAAGCGCCCGTCGACATCAGGAACCCTCCAAGCGCCTTCCTTACCTCCTTGCTCTCTTCCCTGCCTCTTTCTTTATGTGCAAAACTCAGGTGGAACGGAGCGGCGGAGCCTCGGGTTTTCCAGGGGGAAGTGGCGGCGCGGTTGCACTTGTTCGGAGGAGAGGGGGTGTTGTTGTCTGTTTGTTGTGAGTGGAGCGGCTGAAAGGTGAGGTCATAAGGGGCATTTAAGCGGCTACTAGATAGGCATATGGATGATAGTGTAATGTAGGGGTGGAGGTTAGATAGACCTTAAGATTAGGGTAAAAGTTCAGCACAACATCGTGGGCCGAAGGGCCTGTACTGTGGTATACTGTTCTATGTTCTATGTCCGGCCCCGGGCAGAGAGCGGCTGCTGTGGGGTGCGGCCTGGGCCTCTTTCTCCGTGGGCGTTGGGATGGGGTTATATTTAAAAATGAGCGCGATCTCCCCCAGCAGGTCTGGCTCTTTGTTTTGGTAAACAGGCCGGGCTGCAGCGAGGGCCCTGATCCGGTGAGGCCAGCTTCCCGCTGCCGGCCTAAAATCAAACCGCCTTCACTGAAAGAGCTAAGGGGCATTGCCAGCCTCTTAACTCCCGATCTGCCCCTTAGATCGACCTTCTTCTCTTGCAACCTCTTGTATTACCCCTTACCCCTTACCCCTAACCCCTGCAGGCTCTGTCTTGGGGTAGAATTGAAGCAAACAGTTCACCCCAACCCCTCCACAAACCCGGAGTATTTATATCTGAAGAGGGGAAATCACAGGGCCTCATGTTTTTATATTGGGCAGCAGATGCTTCCGAATGCAGGTCATTGCATTGTTATTGCATTACTGTATCGCATCAGGTGCGCACCCACCTCATGCGGGTTTCCCCATTTTAAAAAAAATTGTAACTGTTTTTAAATCGCTCTCCGACCCCTCAGGCCTTCAGTAATAAACACGAAGTCCTTGTAAGTAAAAGCAAAATACTCTGGTACCTGGACATGTAAACTAAAAATAAAATCTTTGAGAGTTCAGACCTGCTGAGTTTCTCAAACATTTGCTGTCATTTCGATTTTCAGCATTCGTAAAATTTTGCTTTTATTTACTACAAGCTTTCATGATCTCTGCACTCTTGACAATTCGACCATCTTGCACTTGTGTTTTGATTGCTTTACCATTCTTGCAGCCACTTTAGCCTTAACCTCTATAATTTTTATAGAATCCCTACAAGTGTGGAAACAGGCCCTTCAGCCCAACAAGTCCACACTTCCCCTCCGAAGAGCATCCCACCCTGACTCATTCCCCTACCCCTCCATTTCCCTATATCTAACCCACCTGGACACCATGGGCAATTTAGCATGGCCAATCCACCTACCCTGCACATCTTTGGACTGTGGGAGGAAACCCATGCAGACACGGGGAGAATGTGCAAACTCCACGCAGACAGTGACCCAAGGGTGGACTTGAACCCTGGTCCCTGGTGCTGTGAGGTAGCAGTGCTAACTACTGAGCCACTGTGCCACCCTCCCTAAATGCTGTACCTATCTGATTCTTCTAAGGCATGGCTTAAGATTTACCATTTGGACCAGGATTTTCTTTTCCCAATCAATGAATCAGAAGCACATCATGAGGTTCCTCAAGCCTGCTCTGTTATTTGACAAGATTATGTCTGAACTAATATTGGCCTCAACTCCACTTTCATGCCAATCCTGATTCACTTTAACTCGTTTGTCAGTCAAGAATCTCTCTAACTTAGCCTTAAAAATATTCAATGGTCCCAGCTTCTCCGCTCTGTGGGGAAGAGAATTGCACACAGTCACGACCTTTTGAGAGACAACATTTCTCCTTGTAGTTGTCTTAAGTTGGAGACCCCTTATTCTTAAACTGTGTCCTGATCTGTCCTGAATCATCCATTATGTCTTGGTGTCAAAGGAATTTTTTGGACATGTTTTTGTAAAATGCTTAGGAATGTTTTACTTTAATGAAAGCTGTACATAAGGTTGGGGTCTTGCCTTATTGTAAGCAGTGCATGTGTAGCAGTTTTCTGCAACTCAAGTTGTATCAGTCCTTTTCAGCAAATTGCTTTCTATCCTTGAATTTATGCAAATGTTGAAAACATTTATTAGAAAATACACGTTACCTAATTGGTGGATTCATAAATGGATTGATGTTATATTGATAGCATAAAATGAAGAAGAAATTTAAGTGAGGTTTTATAACATGAAGAGTTCTGTTAATACAACATGCATGATCATTGAGGTTGGGACATTATGCAATCCCAGTAACAGAGAGAAATCCAGAAGGAAAGATGAAACTTGATACGAGAATTGAGAAGGAGAGATAAAGAGCTTAGAGTGATGGAGAGAGGGAAATTAAGAATGTAAAGTGAGGAATGGAAAAGGTAGAGAATATCAAGGCTGGAAGTTACTAGACTAGATATTGAAACAGAGGGTGGCCTCAAATTGTGTAAACTTAATTTTCAAGCCTGTTTCATTTATAATTGCTATACTGCGGTTTATGGATTTTCAAATATTAATTTCCAGATTGGAAGATTTTAGAAGTTTTTCTTTTGTTCCTTGGTTAATGTATATCACTGCAGCTTAATTTAATTAACTGATTATAGCATTATAAAGAAGATGTTTGTAGACAGAGGTAAGTTACAAAATTCAAACATCAGTGATTATTTATGCACAAGTTAGTGCTCCTGTAACTACTAAAGTATGGACCGTAGAAGCTGGTGTTCAAATATTGATTTGTACTTCAGAATTTTGTGGTTCCAGAATAAATAGTATCTTGTTGAGATTCGGGAAAAGCTCACTGCCTACAATTTGCTAATGACTTTAAGCTGTTATTTGCATGTGGTGAGTTCCCAGCTATAATTGCTAAGTTTGTAGTCAACCTACTGAATATTGTTGTCTGATTTGAGCATTCTTAGTTTCAACTCGGTGCCAATTCCTTAAACCTTACACCAGCAAAGTGCTGCCTGTCATAGCTGCAAGTAGTTTTGTTTTGTAATCTTGTGGAAAGTTAGCCTTGGGATGCGTAAACAACTTGTTGCCCTTTCTATTTCATGCTTGTGTACAATTTTATTTTGTGTAAATGACAGGAGAGAATTTTAAACCTGTTCAGGCAAAATTGATTTCAATGTAATTGAATAACATGTTGTAGATGTAAATCTATGAAATGGCTGGCCTAAACTTTTACTTTAAGTTGTGATTCCTATCTGAAATGTCTTCTTTTTAGGAACCTTTGTTTCAATACCAGTGTTGTTTATTGTATCTCAGCTGCCATAACTTTGGAATGAATGTGTTTACTGAGTTTAAAAAAAAGCTCCTTTATTTGAAATGGCATCATTATTTAGTACTGCACCAATTCTGAGATTCGAAAGTGCAGAATTTGGAACATAATCATTTGTTTCCACATTTTGTCAGATTTGCCACTTCCCTAGTTTTGGTTTCTTTGTTTTAAATGTGTTCCTTGGAGGAATTAAAATTGGCCTTCCATATACTGGGCTGTAAAATATTGTACTGAAATAAATTGTTGTAAGGGTACAGTATGATATAATGAAATTATTTAACATTTTCAGTGGACTTTTTTCAGCAGTTTCTTACAGTTTCTTATTAACATAGGAAAGAATCATGAGTGAATTTCGAATCCATCATGATGTGAATGAACTGATCAGTTTGCTTCGTGTTCGTGGTGGTGATGGAGCTGAAGTGTACATTGATCTCCTTCAAAAAAATAGAACTCCATACGTCACAACTACTGTGTCCTCCCATAGTGCAAAGGTAATATGTCCAATGTTGATCCACAAAGTATTTGCTTCACCTTTCTAGGAACTTGAATTGCTGTATTTAGAATACCTTTATAGTTATAATCTGGAATGCTTACCATGAAAACGTAGTGTGAAAATGTAGCATTAGTGAAAAGAGTTTCAATAATAATTTTCAAGTGGAAGTTGGATATGTACTTGAAAGGTTAAAAAATTGCAGATCTACAGGAATAGAGCAGAGGAGTGGGTCTAGTTGGATAACTTTGTCAAAATGTTAGCACTGGCCTGATGGGCTGAATAGTTTCCACCTGCTTCAAGAGTGAGGTGACAAATTTGGATTTTGGGTTTGAACACTTGTGTGCAATCAATACTGAGCTGAAGTGAAGGATTGCTAAATAAAGGATGGATTGGTGCGTGGAAGGTAAAACTAGATGTTGGGCTTCTGTGGCCAAGGACAAGGCTACAGGGCAGATTGAATGGGAAGGACTAGAGTAAAGCTGTGTCCACTGCTTAAAAATAAATGCATTTTTAATATTTTTATTTGTCAGGTAAAAATAGCTGAGTTTTCAAGAAGTCCTGAAGAATTTCTTAGGAAGTATGATGAACTGAAATCAATAAATGTACGGAATGTGGATCCATTGGTTTACCTGTTATCAAAGCTTACTGAAGATAAAGAGGTAATGAGGTTTGAGTATATCTTTAGTGTTTCTGAGCCAGTTTGATACGATTTGCAATAAAATTCACACCTTTTATTGCATGGACCTACCTGCTTCCTGTTATATTGATTGATGTTATTATTGGAATCATTTGGTAAACATATCTGTGACGTGACTTAGAGTTTTGGATTCCAGACATGATGTGTACCCTGTTGCATTCCTCACTCTGCAGTGGAGGACAGTGTGAACGGATTGAGCTTTTCTTCAGGTACCTGCTGCTTTCAAAATACATTGACAATGCACCAGACTATTAAGTGTACTCTGTGCTGCACACTGTGTTAATTATTACAAAAAATGTTCCAAAAGATCCAAAATTAATTCAGGAAGAACTGGATTTTCTCTATTAGCCTTTTTATGGTGTCAAGACTGCTGAAATTTCTTTTTTTTTTGGGATGTGGGCATTGCTGACAAGGCCAGCATTTCTTGCCCCACCGTCCTCCTTCCTGAGTAACATTCCAGCTCATTTGATGAAATGTGCCTGCTGGTACACCAATCTATTTGAGGGTCGACAGCTCTATAAATAATGGTAGCAGGTGATTGAATGTTTCCTTCCAAATGACTGTTGATCTGAAGGTGGCGTTGAAGTGAAGAAACATAAACTTAGGAACAAATCTCCTCATGAAATAAATGGTATAGTGGTGATGTCACAAATCCATAGGCTCAGCCTCATGCTCTGGGGTCATTGGTGCAAATCCCACTATGAGGACTGGTGAAATTTAAATTCAATTCATCGTTCAAGAATATAAAACTAGCCTCTATAATGGTGGCTGTGAAAACAATGATCTGTCATCATAAAACTCACTTTATCTGTTAATGTCCTTTTAGGGAAGAAAATTTTCTGTCCTTGTCTAATTTGGCCTACATGTTACTTCAGACTGATAGCAGTGTGGTTGATTCTTAACTCATCTCTGAAATGACCTAGCTCAGTTCGTGAGAATTTGGGATGTGCAACAAATGCCAGCATCATCAGTGGTGCCCGTGTCCCAAGAAAAAATAAATTTTAACCACCTTGTCACCATGAGGTGGTTAACAGAGAAAATCCAGTTCTTGTTTAATTAATTTAGTCATACATGGATTTGCCAAAAATATCTGCGGATTTGCGCCCCATTTTCTGCAGTTTGTGGTATGGAGATGGCTCCCTTTGAGACACCCCATTTTATAGATGGTGCTTGTATAGTTTTTGTGGCATTGATTCAACCCAAATGTTACTTGTATGTCTCAAAGAGAGATATGGTGACTTGCCTAGGTTTGCCTTGACTTCTCATCAGTCCACAGTGATGGATATTTGTACATCATTCTAGTAAATTAAGTTCAATGTTTCCACTCTTTTCAGTAAAACAAACTACAGCTGTTCTAAAGTGGATTAGGGCATCTGTAAATCAAAATTACATTGAATTTTGATGCAGAAAATCCAATATTTAATTTTCAACCTTTTATCATGTTTGTCTCACCTTCAATTTCTGATCATAAGGTAATACTTCTTTTATTCTATGCAACCTCATCCATTGCCATTACAGCATACTGGATTCTGTGCTCTTCATTGTCTACACTTCAAAATTTGTATCTTGTCTGAGCCCCAATGACAAATCCTTCAGACATTGTGCTAAATAGTGATGCAGCCAAACATGATTAAATTTAATCTAACCCAATTCTCTGCCAGATTATTGTGACATTGTTAGTTTGCTGAAGGTAGAATTTTAGTTTGGAATCTCTATTTAAATTTGAGTCTCTGTCTATACATATTATTTTGCCTGGGAAAAATTGCAACCAGAAATTTATAAAACCAAGAGCTTGGATAAAGGCAAAATGTTTTGGTTCTGCTTTTATTTCTAGTTTTCAGAAAAAGCTGGAAAGAATCTACAGGCCATTCAGCATTTCCCTGTAGAGCTATCTGTGCCTTTGCAACCTTTATAATTTTAATTCTATAAAACATTGTAATTTTTCCAACAACAACAACAAAAACAGAAATTGCTGGAAAAACTCAGCAGGTCTGGCAGCAAATGTGGAGAGAAATCAGAGTTAATGTTTTGGGTCCAGTGACTCTTTCTCAGAAGTGGAGGAATTCTGAATTTTCTCCGCAGATGCTGCCAGACCTGTTAAGTTTTTGCAGAAATTTCTGTTTCTGATTTCCAGCATCCACAGTTCTTTCGGTAATTTTTCCACGTACGTTATACTTTATTCCAATATGATTTTCTATATGTGGGTAATTATTTTGTTACCTAGTTTATTGGAACATTGTTTGTCATTTCTGGTCTCCTAACAATATTAGGCAATGTGGGAATTTTATCTTTTTGTTTGTAATTTTTCACAATTTGCTTTCTTCTTTAAGCCCTCTGTGAATGCTGCCTGTATTCCCTGACTGAGTGAAGTGTCAAGGTCACCTGCTCCTAGGCCTGTTACTGGTGCTGCCTTGAGGGCAGCTGGTAAAATTTGCAATGTAACTTGGCCATCATTTTTTGACTTTGTTAGACAACATAATTGGTTATGAACTTGCCATGGAAATGTTGCAGTAGTGCAAATTGCACCTTGCCAATTCACGGCAAAGCATAAAATTAAAGCAAAGTACTACAGATGTTGGAGATCTAAAATAGTAACAGTGCCAGAGAAATTCAGCAGGTCATTGAGTTGTAAAGCACAGAAGTGGCTCTTGGTCTGGCAGCATCTGTTGGGACAGGAACGGGGCTAATATTCTGAGTCCAATATTCCTCTTCTTTGAAATTAAAGCGCTTTCTGTTTATATTCCATGACAAATGTTGAATCACTAGTGTCGGCAATGCTTAAATAGTCTTATGTTTTGCCATTATCAAGTGTGCACTAGGCAAACTCAACACAAGTTAAGAATAAGAATTTGGAAATGCAAACTTGCGTTATGTACACGCAGTTCAGTTCACAGTGAACATAAAAGTACATAAGTGCAAACTTTATGGATCAGCCCTCAGAAATTAAATTGAAGTGATTGTCCATATAGTTTAATACAGTTCCAATGAAGGTTGTTGTCAATCTACCATCATCGGTCATTTAAATGTAGCATCATAGGTCATTAGATACGCTAATGGCCTTTAGGAAAGGAAACTGCCATCCTTGTCTGGTCTGGCCTACATGTGACTCCAGACCCACAGCAATGTGGTTGACTCATAAGTACACTCTTGGGCAATTAGGGATGGGCAATAAATGCAGGCTGAGGCAGTGTTGCCCTCATCCCGTGAATGAATGAAAAAAGTAGTTTGGGAATAACAATATTACCTTTAAAGTTCTGATTAAAGTTATTGAACAGGTCAGTTTTGGTTTTATCCTGTTGCTGTTTTTGGCAAACGTTTGCACAGATCCAATAAAGAACACTTTTCCTAACATTTTCTTATTGAATGGCAAAGTACACTTAAGGAACGGGATGGGCCTACTCCTACTTCTGATTTGAATGTTTGTGTATTCATTACAGTTGCAGAAGAGTAAGGTTGGGGAAAGAAGCTTTTGGTAAAAATGATTAAAAATTTCAGTAATTCAGTTTGTTAAACATTTTTTTTAAAAAATTAAAAAACCTGATATCTTGCCTTGATTTTGATTAACAATTATAACCATGAAATTGTGAGGCCTACAGATTTTCCATAGGTATTTAACTACTGTGAGCTTAGAAACAGATTTATCTTCTGTTTTATTACAGACTCTGCAGTACTTGCAACAGAATGCTAAGGACAGAGCAGAACATTTATCCAATGCTTTAGCTAGCAGTAGTACAACATTCAGCGTCCCAACGACGACTGCCAAACTCTCGATACAGGAGCTTGAAGAACTTCGAAAACAGCTCGGTACTGTCACTACTACTACAAATTCACAGCAGGTAAAGAAATTGAACATCAACTTTTTTATTTAAGCAATCTTGTATATTCTTGTATGTACTAGAGTTACAAAGTCTTCTGAGTAACAAAATTGAACATTGGGATGTGATGAGTCTGTATTTACCTTGTTCATAAGTTTTTCCAGTCCCAATTTGTAGTTGTTCAATTTTATTTGTTAAAAAGATGTAAACTCATTTTCACAGTGGATTAATGTGCACTGGTAATGTAGAATATTACCGTGAGGTAATATTCCAGATCAATTTTTTAAAATTCAGGGCATGTGGATAGGTGTACAGTAGGTATCGTATCTAGGCTTGGGCGAGTAACAGGAAATTCCAGAATTTTTGATTCAGTGATACTGAAGGAACGGCAATATCAAGTCAGGATCATGAGTGGCTTGAAGGAAAACTTGCAGGTGATGTTGCTTCCATGTATCTGCTACCTTTGTTCTTCCAGAAGGTAGTAGTTGTGGGTTTGCAAGGTGCAGTCGATGGAATCTTGGTGAATTTCTATAGTGCATCTTGTAAATGGTACACACTGCTGCGGCAGTGATAGAAGGAATGGATTTGGTACTAGTCAAGCAGGCTGCTTTGTTCCCTTGCTCTTCCCTTCCTGTCTGGGCCGCTCCCGGGCTGATCAGGCAAACAATGCCTCTGGCCTGGGACAGAACTAGGCTTGGCTTACAGATCTGCTCCTGGCAATGCTCTCCGCTACTGAACCTTTCACTGCAGGCTACCTTGTAGGCTGCCTGGATATCCCTCAGCTTCTCCTCCTGCTCTTTAACTTGTTCCCCCAGACGGCTATTGTCCTGTTTCAGTGCCTGTTCACTTGTCTTGGCTTCTGTAACCTGACATCGCAGGTAATCTATCTGATTCCTGTACCTTTCGTCCATTCTTGCCTCTCTCGCTGCAGGTCTGGATGCAGCATTTCCCCAATCCTGCTCCCTTCCTCTGCCTCTCTTAACGCTGCCTTCAGTTCCCTGACTTTCCTGTCCAGCAGCTGAACCTGTCGCTGGAGACAGAGGCTCCAGATTGCCTTCCCTATGGAGTGCTTATGCTCCTTGCTCTCAGTTCATTGGGCTGCTGCTTCAGCTAGATGCTCTGCTCTCAAAAGATCCAGGACCTATTTCTTACATATAGTCACATTTTTGAACACATAGGAGGAGATCCTCTCCTCCATCAGAGACTTTGCTTCTGTAACACCTCCTACAGCATCATATTCCTTCTGCCAGTGTCCTGCTGTGGGTGCCATTCTGTAGGGATTCTGGTTTGCGATCAGTAATCTGCTGGTCTTTAGGTGGTTCGAATCACCCCCAGATCCCTGGTGCTGACACTGGACTTAATTTAGGAATGTGAAGAAGGCTATAGGCAGGTGTTTCAGGGCAAAGAATCACTGCATCTATAAAATCACAAGAAATAAAAAGGCGAATAATAAACAGGGAAATAAACAAAGGTGAATAAAAATACAAGAGTTAAAAAGGCAAATTCAAAACATTAAAACTGACACTATCAGTTATTAACACAGGCTAATTACTATTAGAAACTAAACAGTAGTTTCAAACACAGACATTTTAATCAGACTTCCTGATCTTAGGGCTCCCTGCACTGTCCCCAATCCACCTTCCCCTCCCTGCTAGCTAGGTTGGATGCTTTGGGTCTCAAGGAAATAGGCTCACTGCTCGGAATAAACGCAATTTTGAAATACAGTTGGCTGTTCCCACTTGCTGTAGCCGGTGCTACACTGAAGATTTCGGGCAGTGTTCAGCCTGGTTTGAGAACCTGGGTTTTCTTTCTTTGTGGTGGTTTTATGAGCTGGTTTTCACCTCAGGATGTGTCGGAGGCCTTGTCAATTATGTTGATAGTTTTCGGAGGTCATCGGCGTCAGATCTGCTGGTCGTGGTCGGTTGCCGTTGGTTCCCCTGGTACGGAACAGCCCTGTGTCAGTAAGTTTCAGGGAGATAGCTGTGCAGATAGTTCTCGGCAAGAGTAGCTGTCTGGGATCCCTCTTCTGTTGGTAGCTGTGGGGATGGCTCTCTCTCTCCCAGATCAGGGCCAGCAGGTATACAGACTGTGTGCTCCGTTATCACCTTGCAAATCTGTGTTATCCATTGTATTTCTGTTGTCCCCTTTGTGGTGACTTGGCTTCCTGATAGTTTAGAGTAGGTGTAAATTTGTTTTGGTTAAATGGAATATCCAGTATTTCTGCGAATGAATATTAATTGAAGTCGAATGCCTTGATACCTCTGAAGAGTCCAAAATGTCTGAAGTTGTCGTCTTAGGTCTGGTTCATTTTTCCTTTAGGGCTGAGGCGTGAATAGAATTTCTAACTGAACCATGGTTCCAGATAGCTATTCCCATGATTGTGTGTTTCAGAGCATAGCCCGGCTGCCTTTTCTTTTTGTTTTAAAAGTTCTGTTAAAAATCCAGGGATTTGGTCCAGTATTCTAAATTACAGGGATTTTTGTGCTATTTACATGCACCTTGTAGATGGTCGACAGGCTTTGGAGAGTCAGGAGAAGAGTTATCCACTGCAGGATTCCTAGCCTCTGACCTACTCTTGTGCACAAAGTATTTATATTACTAGTCTCGTTCATAGTGGAGTATTCGGCATTAGTAATCCTATTGAAAATCAAGGTGGTTAGATTCTTGTTGGAGGTCAGGACTTGTGTTGCACACATTACTCGCCACTTGTCAGTCCAAGCCCAGATATTGTCCAGATTTTGCTGTTCTTGGACATAAACTGTTTGAATATCAAAGGGGTGGTGAATGAATATCAAAGGCAGTCACCCTCAGCTCACACCTGGAATTCAGCTCTTCTATCCTTGGTTAAACTAAAGCTGTGATGGGATCAGGAGCTGTGTGGCCCTGGCTGGCCCCAAACTGTCAGGAGTTATAATATCAAATTTGTAGACTCCCACAATTATGTTAGAATGTTTGAATCATTGATGATTCTTAATTTTTCTGGTTAAGTTGTACTGTACTTCTGAACTCTGGAATCATTTTCATATTTTGGAATTGTAATTTCTAGCCACTTGAAGTAGTCCGAAAGCTCCTTCGTGACAAGCATAACAAGAGAAATCCAGGGCTGATAATTCCACATTTCCCTCCATGGGTGTATGAAAGGCCAGCCCTTCTGGGAGACTTTATAAACAGCTCCAGTCCAATCACTGAGACAGTAGTCTCTATAGGTATGTGGAGTATACACTGACTATTTTGTTTGTTCTGAATCTTATCAGTGCTGAATTAAAAATTTGAAACTGGAGGTGCTGTTCTGTCAGCGACTATCTGTATTGCTAAAAAAGTTGCATTTTGTCAAAGCTACAATGAAACTGTTTTGTCTTCTTACTTCATTTCTGCAAATTCCACCAATTGTTAACATTTTACCATAACAATACTGTAAATGCTATCTTCAAACATGACTCAAATGTTGAAGGGCTTGTACCATTAGCTTCAAGATGCTTTAGTGCAAAATTTCCATATGTCATAGAATCCCTACAGTGCGGAAAGAGGTCATTTGGCCCATCCAGTCTGCACCAATTCTTTGAAGAGCATCCCACCTAGCCCCCTACCCTATCCCCATAAGTCTGGATTTTAGAAGGCTAATCCACCTATCCCACACATCCTTGGGTGATATGGACAATTTAGCATGGCCAATCCACCTAGCCTGCACATCTTTGAATGTTGGAGGAAAGCTAGGCAGACACGGGAAAAATGCACTCCACACAGACAGTCATCGGTGGCTGGAATTGAACCCAGGCACCGTGAGGCAACAGTGCTATCCACTGAGCTGCCGTGCCACCCATGCAACATTGCACTTCACTGCAGACCTGGACAATATCAGTTTGTCAAAAAACTAATCCTTTTGTTTGTTTACTGCAACAATAGTAGTGAGGCGTTTGTCAGTCTTTCAGTTTTATTATCTATTAGTAGCACAGCGTTTCTCCATTATATTTGCTTTATGGAAATGTCAGAGTTACCTGAGTGATTTGATTTCCAATTTTGGCACTGTATATTTTGCAGTGTGATTTATATCATCTGAAACCTTGACGCATAGCTATGTTATCAGTTTTACCTATGGTTTGGGTGTTGGAGACATCTTGTTCTTGTATATGAGAAATTCCTTTCCTTGTGTTAAACTACTTGTCATGCTATTAAAATGACTGGGTTGTGTAACATTTGTGCTTTGTTCATTGATACAGCACTGCCTAATTTCCCAGGAGTGCCAGCTTCAAATCAAAATATGCTGTACCCAAGCAAAGTTCTAATGTGCTGGAACTAATTTCCTATTATTCTTTCCCTTTGAAATCTCTGATAAAGCATGACATATTGCAAAAAGATAATTTAGGAATGTCATGCTCAATGCATATTCTAAAGCTGCTGCTAAGTTTCATGAAGTGTTATTTTAGACATACATTTCCCTTGTATACAAAACATATTTGGCTGTTTACTTTTGAGATCAGAAGATTTTGTCAGTGGTTTTAAGTATACAGTTATACAGATTAACAGTGATATGATTCAACTTGTGGAAAATTCTGATTCAGAAACTTGTAGAATAAGCTATTTGTAACCATCAAAACTGAGATGCAATGCATCTGATTCAATATCAAACCTCTTACCTTCATTAGGAACGTTAGCTCTTCCTGCACAAGAACAAATGATAGTTGAAGATTTGCTGTACGTTTTGATTGGAGTAGATGGGAAGTACATCACAGCACAACCGTTAATGGGAAGGCAGAGTCGATCCTTTACTGTTGATCCCACATTGGACATGTCTGTTAAAGAACTTGTAAATAGGATCCTTCCAATAGCAGCCAGCTACTCCTCTGTCACCAGGTGAGCAAATGTAAAAAGTGTCTAGTGACCTGATATTTACATTACTTCTTTATGCACAAAACAAAATGCAGTTTTTACTGGACAGTCCAAACTGTCGTGCTCTCTAAATTGACCGAGGACTATGACAGGCTATACCTTGACAAATAAGTATGTGAGAATATTTCAGTTTTGTCATAACTCTGCTTTGTGTCTCTACTCAGGTTCATTGAAGATAAGTCCTCCTTTGAGCATGGTCAAGTAAACCATGCTTTGGCTGCAGCAATGCGGACACTTGTGAAGGAGTACATGATCCTCGTGACACAACTGGAACATTTACAGCGACAAGGGCTGCTCTCATTACAAAAACTTTGGTTTTATGTCCAGCCAACTATAAGAACAATGCAGATCTTGGCTTCAATAGGTATTTCACTATTTGTTTTTAAATTAATTTGTTTTTTTTTAACATGAGTTTCAAAAATTGTGGAAGAAAGATGAAGGCAGAGTTCAGCCATGCATATCAGCCTCGATTAAAAGAAATCACAAGCAAAACAGCAACTATTTATAGAAAGTTAATTCTGTGTACTAAAATATTTATAATTGGAAGAATTCCTCAAGTATTGTGAACAGCCTGGTTAGAAAGATGGGAACGTAATTGCTTGTCACTGCCAACATAGCCAACAGGATTTTTACATCCTAGCCGCAAAGAGCAATAAATAGTTTATGCAAATGAAAAGATAGACAAATAAGTGTACTTAATAACAGGATGCAACAGGATATTATTTCTCTTTGTTTTGTATCAGCTACTTCTGTGGAGAAAGGAGAATGCATGGGGGGTTCAACGCTAAGTGTACTCCATGATCGGACGTTTAACTACACAGGAGACAGTCAGGCACAAGAGCTGTGTCTCTACCTGACTAAAGCAGCCAGTGTTCCATACTTTGAAATTTTAGAGAAGTGGATCTACAGGGGAATCATACAAGATCCTTACAGGTACAAGGTTAGCCACTGGAAATCATCATTCCCATGAGTTTATTTTAAATGTTGGTCTTACTAAATAGATCAAACCCTTTCACTTTTCTTCACTATCATTCTGCTCAGACAAAATTCTTCTGCCCTTGCCCCCTCCTGGACTCTGCATTTCATGGAGTAAATTCTACCCCAACTTTGTCACTTCAGCCTGTTAATGTTGTTACTGCTTGGTGTGACTGGGAATTAGTAGATCTTAATGGGAATTTTTTACAGTCCAGAAATATTAAGCGCTTGACTAATAGGCAGAGTGGTAACAGATTATGTTGTCTATATGTTGCAGGGAATGTGGCTCATTAAAGGGGTCAATAATGCTGTGTATGGAAAAATATACCCATCTGCTCAAATTAAAATATTTTGGTTAGTTTGTAAGTAGTAATCTGCATTTTAAGATCGGCAAAGTAATATTAGTTTATAAATAAACAAGTTACTCTATGTTGTACAGTGAATTCATGGTGGAAGAACATGAATTGCAAAAAGAGAAAATTCAGGAGGATTACAATGACAAGTACTGGGATCAGAGGTACACCATCATCCAGCACCGAATCCCTTCGTTCCTGCAGAAGTTAGCTGACAAGATACTGAGTACAGGTCTTTACAATACTTTGTATACTCTTTCTATTATTTATTTGTCCTGTTGTATTATGTGGTTGACTTATCATCTGTTTAAATTAGAATTAAATTTGTATCTTTGCCTAGCATTGAAGCAAGTTAATTTGTTTTCGTTAAAACATTAAACAGACTTTCTTTGTATCTCTTGAGGAATGTACTGTAATAAAAATACATTACTGCTATGACTATTTAACTGTTGTTAGCTTAGATTTTCATGCTGTCTCCACATTCAGGCTCTGAATATCTCGTTAAACTACTGTACAGTCAAGCTGTGTTTGCCTGTGGAAAATTATTTGAGTGCTGTTTATGCATAACAGTACTTCACACAACCTGCATGGATGAGTTTTATCAAAAGAGATTTTCTTTAAGGCATGGTTTGGGAACTGAAAGGTCACGATTTGTGCGTGAGGAGCTTCCATTTATGTAGCAGCTAAGATTTCCTCAGTGGCAGTTGTAGCTTTAGTATAATTATTCTTCAACAATAGTACTTAGTTCCTGCTAAGGATTATGGACAGGTCTAGCATGACGACTAGGAAGACAAAATAGTTGCATGTTTTGGCTCCAGAGACACAGAAAATGAAATCCTTTTGAAAAAAAGAAACCTAAGAAGCAGACTGTATCTTTGGGCTTAGTTCCACTTAATAAATTTCTATCCAAGAAAGAAGGTAAGGTTTGCTTTATGCTCCTGTATGGTAAAAAGTTGATAGAATCATCGAGGAAATTAAACTTTCAAATGTTCTTCTGATTGTAAATTGCACCCTTTATGAATTTCTACTATAGTTAGGAAAAGAAACTCTCCTCCTTGCCTTGCGATAAGAAGATCCACAGATTGTTTGTAGCACCCGTTATTAATTCAACCCATGTAACTTGCAGTTAATTGTCAGAATTTTCCACAAAGCTTTCCAATTTTTTGGCACAGTTTCTCAAAATAGTCAAGCTAACACAAGTGATAGTAGAATTTTGCGTGCATATTATGCTCCCCATAGATTGACTGATACAATATTTAGGGCTAGATTAAGAAGCATCGGCTTAGAGTTACACAATATTGGCCATGCTTCAAGGTTGAATTAATCACCATCGAGAAAACCATTCAAATGAAATTGAGCTGTTTCTATTTAAAAGAACAAAAAATGCTCATGGACACTTCTAAAAAGCTTTCAGATATAATTTATTTCTAACTTGCTCTTTTTTTGGAAAAAGAACTGACTACTGCACACCAATGTAACCAGTAAATTTCCTGGTTTTTTTAAAAGTAATTTTCAGTTATTTAATATTGGATTGCTCGCAGCTGGTGGTCTTGATGCTCTTATTGAAATGCTTTCCTTGTGATAGACATTTTCTGTTTGGCAATCAACCAACACCAGATTTTACACAATTAAATATGTTGTGGAATATTTTTTAAAGCATTTTTCAAAAGTTGTGCTAAAAAGCCATGCAATTATGCTGGTTCGTGGTAGCTTGAGCAGAAACCCGAGAAGAAGGAACACTTCTCAAAGTGAGCACGGCCTGCACCCAAACTGCCAGTTGCTCTACAGGTGAAAACTTTATTTAAACAATTTTTGTTCCCAACATTCTGTTTTTTCTTTTCTTTTAGTTATTTTCTTTTAAGTTATCTGTCACATTTACATTGAACACCCTAAATATTTGCCATATTTGTGCAATTTCAGGCTTGGTACAACAAGAAACGGTTCACCATTAAAGAAGATACTTTCATTTAAATTTTAAAATATGTACAAAGAAACTCTTTTCCCAGAAAAAAAAGGTAGTAGGTTTCAGACATTTTCCCCAAGCCACATTGAGAGACGCTGTTTGTGATAACACACTCTCGCCTGTAACTTTCATTAGAATTAGCAGGCAGACAATCGCTGGGTAGGAGTGTGCAATTTCCTGATATTCTGCAAGAGTTTGAAAGTGGAAAATCTTCCTTACTCTGTGGTCCCTTCCTTCCTATATGAAAGAAAGTACAAACCAGGGATTCTAATTTGTTTTTTTCCTTTTTTGTTTGATCATATTTTAGTCCATTATTTTTTCTAAACAGTCCATTCCAAAATTTGTTCTTCCTCCACCTTGGACCTGATGGCCCAAGGGCAAAACTGTCCTGTACAGAAGTGAATGAGTTTATCTTGGCCAGTCAGTTTTCAGTAATAATTGTTTCATTCCCCCATAGGAAAATATCTTAACGTCGTTCGAGAATGTGGTCGTGATGTGACCTGTCCCGATGCCAAGGAAGTGATCTATACTCTGAAGGAAAGAGCATACGTGGAACAAATTGAAAAATCTTACAACTATGCCAGCAAAGTTCTATTAGACTTCTTAATGAAGGATAAAGAACTCCTGGCACGACTCAGGTACAAGGCCTCAAATCATTTATTGAAAAAGGAAATTTTTTTTATGTTGGTTGCCTATGGTATTTGAGTCATCGTAAAATGGCTTTTAATTTCCCAGTTTAGTTTAACTGCACTACTTTGTACAAGATATGTGCAATCTAATAGACTACATAGCCAAAAGTTCCATGAAATAATAAACCACGTATGGAATTAATTGTGCATTTCATAGTTTCCTGGTGAGGATCGACTTGTATAATTAGTATCTATTAATTTAATCTATTGTATATGTAGAAGGGATGTTTATTTGGAAGTGATGTGTCGTTACTGTCTTTGGGTGAATGAGGAAATATTTTACTTGACCAGTTACTTCACATAACAAGTTGTGGCTCATTAAAATCAAAGATGCAGGGTTGAAGGCCAGAATGACTATTGTACAGAATTAAAATTACTGTCACATCTTCTATTACTCATAATAGTTTTTCAAATGTTGACTTTTTTAAAAATGAATATTTGCTAAAAAAGATAAAGTTGTATTTGGAACTTCACCCAAACAGTATAACTTTGGAATCTATTCTGTTTTCAGTTGAGGCAAATTAGTGAATGTATTCTTCACTCATTTGATGGGTGGCTTAGTTTTTTCTTCTCCACTGAAAAAGATTTGCCAAATCTTTGTGACTTGTATGCAATGTATAATGGTGGCTCTTGGGTAGAATGACATTTGTTGAGATTTCTTTATCAGTATAATGAAGATTTATGTTAAAAATGCATTAAATACCAATTATCCTACTCTTTGAAACACTATTAATATGAGGTTTGTATAGGAAAAACTCTGCAAAATATCTGCTTTTA